GGTCTCAGTGCCGATCGAGAACGGGATGTCCCCTGGCAGGGACAGGGACCGGGCCCGAGCCTGGCAGACGGAGCCCCGGGGCAGTGCTCTAAGCCTTGGTTTCCGCCTCTCGGACGGGACAGTGACTTCACTGAACTTAACTGAAGTCCTGAGCAGGGGGCCCCGGACCACAGGGCTGGGGGTCCAGAATTCCTGGGCCCTCTTGCTGCGCTGCACCGGGGGCTGAAGGGGGAAGGCCCGGCTCAGGTCGGCCTCCTACTCACTGAAGCCTCGGGGCTGTGGTCCCACTTGCAACGCCGCGGAGACCGCCCCGGCCGCGGCCCGGAAACACTAGCTCAGGCGCCCCCGACTCCGGCCTACGGAATCGGAGACAGGCCAAACCTCGCAATAAGACTAGGCTCGGATTCTCGCGAGATTTCTCTTGGGGCGGAGCTGAATTCCAACGTGTGGGGATTGGCTAAGAGTTCTCATGTCCCGGATCTGGGGCCAGAATTGGGACTGGGCAAAGAAGGGTAAGGGGACTTGAAGGCCCATTCCCTAAATTCTCGGAGAGGAAAGGTTGCGTTCAGTCACGTCACCCAAGAGGCAATGACAAAGCCAGACCTAATGTTAGATTGAGAAATTATGAGCTCTGTGTCTCTGTCGCAGCAAAGAATTGAGGGACAAAAGACAAGTTTATACCAAGGTTTATAGGGGCTTGGGGGGGGGGGGGGATATAGAGAGACGTTCCACAGACGACCAGACAGTGCCAAGGGGGACAAAGCCCTGTCTCCTTCCCAGAGTCCCCTTTTATCCTGTTTTAGATCCTTTGTTTATTCTAAAATACGTGCCCTTCCCGCTCCTTTGACATGTTACTTCTAGTTTCTCGCAGGTCTCAGGCTGCCGTTCTGAGTCACAATACAGTGCCTCCTTAAGGTTTCCTGTGCTCCAGGCCAGTCCCCTAATCGGAGCCTGCTTAATTTATCCTTGCAACTCCTAACACTAACACCTGGCTTTTATCCCCCCACCCCCCACCCCGAAAGTTTTTTTCTGGAGAGAGCAAGACCAAGACAAGCACTCTTTTTATGCTGCTTTCCATCCTCCAACCTTTCAGGCCGACCAGGATCAACTGCACACACCGGACTGTAAAAGTTGCCTCAGAACTGAACCCTTATCTTCCATAAGGCTTCCAGGATTGCAGGGCAGCACACCAAAGGTGGGCCCTGGCTTCCTTAAATTCCTGGGCCCCTTAGACTAAGCTCAGGGTTCCCAGAGTCCTTCTACTGCTCTCCCAATCCAAGACTCCTCACGTGGGAGGCTGTAGGACAACTCTGTCCCAGTCCCCATTTTACAGATGGGAAAATTGAGGTCCGTATGTTCCAGGGACATACAGAGGCCAATTCTCATGGCTCCCACAGGTGCTCTCTGCACTATGCAGATTCAATGATGTTCCTACTGGGGATGTGAGACAAGGGAGGGAGAAGAGCTCTGCCTGTGAGCTCAGAGCTGCCAGGTACAGACAGGAAAAGAGGGGGGAGGGTGGGAGATCTGCTGCCATTACACCAACTACTGGTCCTGTTCACTTTCCTTCTTAATGTTGTTTGCCCTTCGCAATTTTTTTAGAGAGTTTTTGGGGTTTTTTGGGTTTTTTTTGTTTTTTGTTTTTTGTTTTTTTTTTGCTATAGGGACATGTGCTTGCCAGACAGAGAGAGGCAGAGAGACAGAAAGCGAGAAATTACTCCCTCAGTGAGGACGGCCCTGCTGCAATCCCTTTTCCTTCAGTCTCCTCTTGGGATTTTGGGCACATGCACACATGCTGGGCGTGAGTTTAAGCTGCTGGGTCCAGGATTTAACTGTGGACGACTATATGGGAGTCCAGCACGTAACCATTACGCCATCTGCTGGTCCCAAATTTAATGTAAATTGTGTAGAATACATAACATGCATTAATGCATAATAATGCATATTTCATTCTGGAACTAGCAGGTGGCATAATGGCTATCTCGCTGGAGATCCATGTGGTCAGCCACGGTTCGAGTCCTGGACCTGGTGGCTTAAACTCACACTGGGTGTGTGTGAGTGCCAGCTCAAGATCCCGAGAGGAAAATGGAGAAAGGATTGCGGCATGGCCATCCCCCCAGGAGGTGATTTCTCACTTTCCGTCTCTCTGTCTCTCTCTGTCTTTCTGCTGAGCGCATGCGCCCTATAGTAAAAATCTCTCCAAACAAACAAAAATACGTATTTATTTTTTTTAAGAATTATTTATTTCATTTTATTTATCATTATTATCATTATTTAATTTGACCAGAGAGAGAGAGGGAAAGTGAGAAAGCAAGACACCACATTTGGAATTTGAACTGTGGTCAGCAGTATGGGAGTCCAGCACCTCAACCACCATGCCACCACCTGCTGGTCCCCCCAAAATATGTATTTAATTCATAATATGTGAAATATATACTATGTAAAAGTAAAAGTAATTAACCTAGTGCCAGCAGGTGGCAAAGTGGTTACAGGCTGGACTCCCGCATGGCTGACCGCCATATGAGTTCTGGACCCAGCAGTTTGGAAATCATGCCAGACATGTGGGCGCATACACCAAAAATCTCAAGAGGAGAATGGAAGAGAAGGGATTGCTGTGTGCCCCCCCCCACCCGGGGAGTGATTTTGTGGGATATTCAGCAAGAGACAGGACACTGAGGCTTTTTGCAGGAAAACAGTGTTTTAGTAGTGCTGACTCTGATTCAGCATATTCACATTCAAAGGCTGAGCACCCAATTTGTGGGAACCCTTCCATTTATTCATTTTAGTCTTTTTTCTCTTTATTTAAAAAAAATATTTTATTTATTTATTTTAATTTGACCACACACACACACACACACACACACAAACAGAAAGAGAGAGGGAAAGTGAGAAAGCACCAGACCAGGTCTGGGACTCAAACCATGGTCTGCCGTGTGGGAGTGTCCAGTGCCTTAACCACCATGCCACCTGCTGGTTCTTCATTTTAGTCCTTTGTTCTCCCTTACATGGTTATATACACTTTTACATACTTCTGATTGGGTAACGTATATGATAAGGTTGCTACAGAGTTATACAGGTATGCACTGGGCTGCTGGGCTCTCAGATGCGCAGGCGTGCATGAAGTTACAGAGCTGCTAAATTGCTGTGGGTACAGGCTGCAAGGTTACTACAGATTGCACATGTGTACTTAAATTCCAAGTATGCCCTATTATCTTCTTTAGCGCTAGAAGGCCCCCCATCACAATTTTTCAGTCTCTTCCTGTTTCTCTCTGCAAGCACATGCCCACTATGACAAAAAACTTTAAAAGGGACCAGCAGTTAGTCCGATGGCTATGTTGCTGGACTCACATGTAGTTGACTGTGGTTCAAGTCTTGGACCCAGTGGCTTAAACTCAAACCGGGTGCGTGCGCACGCGTGCCCAAGGTCCCAAGAGGAGAATGAGAGAGAAAGGATTGCGTCATGGCCATCCCTCCTGAAGGGTGTTTCTCGCTTTCTGTCTCTCTGTGGCGAGCGCATGCGCCTTATAGCAAAAATCTCTAAATTAAAAAAAAAAAAAAAGGAAAGAAAAAAAGAAGTAATGTAAAAGGCCATATTACTCTATGAAAATGTGGGATCAGGTGGGAGGCAGAAAAGTAGTACAGAGGGGCCAGCAGGTGGCGTGGTGGGTAAAGGTGCTGGACTCCCATGTGGCCAACCCTAGTTCCAGTCCCAGACCTGGCAGCTTGCTTTCTCTCTCTCTCTGTCTCTCTCCCTTTCATGCTGTCACTCTCTAGTCAAATTAAAATAAAGGTAAATGACAATAATTCTTTTTTTAAAAAAAAGGAAAGTAGTATAGAAAAATATAACTTTTCCTTATACAGAAAGAGAGTCCATATATATATATATTTTTTTTTGAGAGGTTTTCACTATAGGGCACCTGCGCTCGCCAGACAGACAGAGAGAGACATAGAGACAGAAAGCGAGAAATCACCTCCCAGGGGGGATGGTCACGCCGCAATCCCTTCTCCTCCATTCTCCTCTTGGGATCTTGGGCACGCACGCACATGCACCCAGCGTGAGTTTTAAGCCACCGGCCGTGACATGAACCGCGGTCGACTACATGGGACTCCAGCGACATAACCATTATGCTAACTGCTGGTTCCCTTCACAGGATCATTCTGATGGCACTGTGGAACTCTTACTGCGGGTGGGCATGGGTAAAATCTGGAAAACTAGTTTGGAGGCTACTCCGATAACCAGGAGGGGTTGTGGTGCATGAAATAGGGTAGTTTCCAAATATGCTGTGAAGGTTGAAGGTGGAGCGGTTAGTATTTGTTGATGAGTTAATTGAAAGATGAGAGATTGAACAGTACTCCAGAATTTTGGATTAAGCCTCTGGAAAAGCTGTCATCATAAAAAGTTGCTCCATATACAGCAATGGAGAAGGCTGGGGCAGGCGGAAGTGGGGGGATCAAAAATCAGGAGGTGGGGTTTGAACACATTAAGTTCATTCAGCATCAAACAGACTTTTTTTTTTTAGAAAGAATTATTAAACTTCATTTTCTTTCTTTATGTCAATTTTTCAAGAGAGGGACAGAGAGAGAGAGAGAGAGAGAACATGAGTAAGTAAGCCACCAGGTCCAGGACTTGAACCATGGTCGTCCATGTGGGAGTCCAGTACCCTTAACCACCAGGCCACCTGCTGGCCCTGAGATTTAACTTTAAAAAAAAAAAAAGTTAAGGCAGGGACCAGCAGTTGACGTAATGGCTATGTCAATGAACTCCCACGTGGGCAACTGCGGTTCGAATCCCAGACCTGGTAGCCTTGGACCTGGTGGCCTTGGACCCAGTGACCTAAACTTATACTGGGCACATGTACGTGCATACCTAAGATCCTGAGAAGAGGGTGGAGGAAAAGAGATTGCGATGTGGCCATCCCCCTGGGGGGTAATTTCTCTCTTTCTGTCTCTCTGTCCTTCTGGCTAGCATACGCACCCTTTAGTAAAAACGTCAAAAAAATAATTTAAGGCACTGGACTCCCATATGGCCAACTGAGGTTCGAGTCCTGGACCTGCCAGCTTGCTTTCTTATTTTCCTACTCTCTCTTTCTCTGTTTCTCTCATCAAATTTAAAAATAATAGCAATAAATATGGGACCGGCAGGTAGTGCAGTGGTTAAGGCGCTGGACTCCCACATGGCCGACCCCAGTTATATTCCTGGACCTGGTGGCTTGCTTTATCACTTTCCATTTCTCTCTCTCATTTTTCTTTGGTCAAATGAAAAATAATAATAATAATAGGGCCAGCAAGTGGCATGGTGGTTAAAGGTGCTAGATTCCCACATAATCAACTGCGGTTCGAGTCCTAGACCTGGAGGCTTGCTTTCTCACATTCCCTTTTCCTTTGTCTTCTTTCTTGTCAAATTAGAAAATAATAATAATAAATGGAATTACATTTTAAAAATAATAAATAAAAAAAAGAATTCAAAGAATAACAACAATTAATTAAATTTGAAAGGTTTTGCCAAAGGACACACATGCTCACCAGAGAAAGACGGAGGAACAGTGCGAAAGCACTCCCAGGATGGAGGAGGGGATAGTCATCCTGCAATCCCTTCTCCACCTGTCCCTCTTTTGGAGATTATCAGCACGTATGCACACGTGCCCAGCATATTTTTCAAGTCCCCTGGTCTGGACTCAAAGTACATAGCCATGTAGGATCCAGATGTCTTAACCACCATACCACTGGCTGGCTCAACTAAAGATTTTTTAAATTTAGATTAAAAATGTTTATGGGACTGGGCCGGCAAGTAGCATGGTGGTTAAGGTGCTGGACTCCCACATGACTGACCATGGTTCGAATCCCAAACCTGGCAGCTTGCTTTCTCATTTTCCCTTTCTCTGTCTTTCTCTGGTCAAATTAAAAAGTTAATAATAATAATAAATAAAATAATTATTAAGAAAGTAATAATAATAAAAAATAACTTTTCTTTGAAAAATATTTATTAAAGCAGATCTTATTGAGCATGGAGATAATCAAGTTTGGAGTTTGTGGTAGGCAACCGGGTGGGGGATGTGTGAGAGGGTTTTGGGTGGGTATAGTCATTAGCATATAAATGATATTGCACGAGATTAGGAATTTGAATTTATGGAAGAAAAAGGGTCCCACTTGCCTCTCTCATCACCTTGCCCCCTTCTTCCTTTTCTCCTGCCTGCACAGACCCTGGCCGCTGTACTGAGCTCACAGGCAGAAGCTCACTGGCAGAAATGAGCCTGTGAGCAGGCACACACGTGTGCTGTCGCAGGCACAAAGGAGCAGCCTGGGGCCAGACTGACAGCAAGAGGCACGCTTCAGAAATCCATGTTGCCTTGGCCCTCTCCCTTTCCTGTGGCTTCCTCCGGGATGGCATAGGGACAGCAGATCCATCTGGCCCAGGACCAGCAAGGGAAGGGTGACTGCAGGGCCCCTTTAACTACCTTCCTCCAGGACCAGAGGACCTACCTTCCTCCAGGACCAGAGGTAGCAGGCGGTTCAACAGGCCCAGGGCAGGTCAGGAGGTAGTGCCTCCTTCCCTCACTGTCACACGCGAAATGCCAAGAACTGTTCCTCTCTAGTCCCACTTTACCGGCTCTGCAGCCATGTCCCAGCCCACTCCCAAGGGCCACCTTCCCCCACCTCTCAGATGACCCCCAGACTAATCCCTCCTCAGTACTTTCCCTTGTTGGGGCACCCCTGGTCCTTTGCTCTGCCTGTTCTCTGTCTCTCCTCCCACACCTCATCTCTGTGGAGGTTAGGAAACTGGTTCCTGCCATCTTGGGCTCCTCTACTGGGCTCAGGAAAGAGAGCAGATCAGCCAGGCCCCCAAGCCCAGGTGAGCCTCCTGTTGAGAAGCAGCTTCAGGACAGGTGGCCCTGGCTCCTGCTGAGTTTTGTCTGGGATATGGAGAGGAGTGCGCGGGGCTGTTTCCCTTTGATTTATTTAACTTTGCTCCTTCTTTACACATCTGCTGTGCATAGGAATATAATAATGTAAGTGGCAGCTTATATTATTATAAGGGCTATTAGTAGTGACAGTTGCTAGCCAGCAGGTGGCATGGTGGTCAAGGGGCTGGATCCCACATGGCTGGGTTTGACATGGCTGACTCCGAAGTTCCAGTTCTGGACCAGGTGGCTGGAACACGCCAGGCATGTGTGCCTGTGTGCCCAGAATCGGAAAGGAAAATGGAGGAGAAGGGGTTCTGATGTGGCTATTCCTCTGGAAGGGGTGATTTCTCACTTTTTCTCTTTCTCTTGAGTTTATCCAGTGAGCACACGTGCCCTATAGCAAAGAAACAACAAAAAGAAAATGAAAAGAAACAGTTGTGGGACCAGCAGGTGGCGTGGTGGCTAAGGGCTTGGACACTCCCACATGGCTGACCACAGTTCGAGTCCTGCACCTGGTGGCTTGCTTTCTCACTTTCCCTCTTTCTCTCTCTCTCTCTCTCTGTCTCTCTCTAGTGAAATTAAAATAAAATGAATGAATAAAAGTAAATAAATAATTTTTAAAGAAATAAAGAAACAGTTGTTACCATTAAGTGCTATGAACTCAGCACTTTCAGGTAGTCCCCTCACTTAACCCTCACTACAACCCGAGGCAGGTATTACACCATCTCACAGCTAAGACATTAAAGAGGGCCAAGTCGGGAGGCAGGTGGTGTGGTGGTTAAGGGCTCTGGACTCCCACGTGGCCGACTGTGGTTTTGGACCTGACCGCTTGCTTTCTCACTCACTGTCTCCGGTCTAATTAAAATAAAGTTAAATAATTTTGGAAAAAAAAAAAGAGAGAGAGCCAAGTCACAACTCCAGTCTCCCCCCACTCCCCCGCCCCACCATGAGTGAGCCAAAGTCCTACTTTTTTGGTTGTTTGCCATAGGGTGGATGCACTTGGAGGAGAGACAGGAAAAATGAGAAATCACCCCCCTCAGGGAGTTTGGCCACACCGCAGTGCCTTCTCCTTTCTCCTCTTGGGATTTTGGGCACTCAAGCACATGAGCCCAGAGTGATTTTCACCTGGTGGGGGGACTCGAACCGTGATCAACCATGCGGAACTCCAGCATCTTAACTTCCAGCCACCTGCTGGTCCCCAAATTCCTACTTTCACAGATTCCCCTGCGTATCCATACAACTCTGGTCCTAGCTTTGCAGTGGACTTGAGGCGTGACCCCAGTCTAGCTCTTTCCTCTTTCTGGACCTGGTTTTCCCGTAGCTATAACCCGGGCTATTGGGATCTATCCTCGTTACCACCCGCTGCGGGTATCAGGGTAGTGCATCCTACATCCCCGCCCCATCCCCCCCACCACATACCCTCAGGCGACAAAGGAGGACTCCGGAGACCCCGCAGCCCGAGGTTTTATTGCGGGCCGGCGGGCGGGGCTCCGGGCTCAGGACCCTCGGGTCCTCTGGCCCCGGCCTCCTGGAGTTGGTCGGCGAACACCGCTTGGCGTATGGCAGCGAGGGAGCGGGGGGCGCCGGC